GGGTTGAAGCCTTCCCGGGGTCCGTGGAACGGGGCGCTTCGCCCGTGAGGGGAAGGGGCGCCTTTCCCGTGAGGGGCAGGAGGCTTTGCCCGTGAGGGGAAGGGATGCTTCGCCCGTGAGTGCAGAGCGGCTTTGCCCGTGAGGGGAACGGGCGCCTTTCCCGTGAGGAGAAGGGGCGGCTTCGCCCCTGAGGAGAAGGCGGCTTTGCCCGTGAGGGGAAGAGGCGCCTTTCCAGGGAAAGGGGAGGGGAGCTTTTCCCGTGAGGGGAAGGTGGCCTTTGCCCGTGAGGGGAAGAGGAGCCCTTCCCTTCCGCGCAGACCACGTTTTCCCGTGAGGGGAGGGCGGTCCCCGGGCGGAGCCGCCCTGGAGGAGCCGCCCCTGCCCCGCGCAGGCGCCGCCCCCGCGGCGGCCGCTCGCGCCCGCACTTCCTGAGGGCGGGCGGGCCGAACATGGCGCTGGGCCGCTGGCGGCGGCGGTGGTGGCTGCTCAGCGCCCTGCTCCTCGCGGCGCTGCTGGGTCCCGCCGCCGTGTCCTCCTTCTCTTCCTTCTCTTCCTTCTCCTCCTCCAGCCCCGGCGAGCTGCGGAGCCCCGTGCGAGTGCTGTGCGGCTCCAACTGGAGCCTGGTGTTGCAGGGCCAGTGGATGCTGGAGTTGTGAGTAGCGGCCGCTTTCCCGCCCGCCTCGGAGGCAGCGTGTGCCGGGGGGGCGAGGGGGGCTCCCGGTGAGGGGCTCCCGCTGAAGGGCGGATGCGGCCGGTGCCTCCTGCCCCGCAGTGGGGAAGAGGAGGCCGGGCACTGCCGGCCTTCCCATGCCCTGGAGGGGCCGCGCAGCTCCCCCGCCCGGGCACGGCGTGAGGGAGGCGGCGGTGCCCGCGGTCCCCCCCGCCCGCCCTGAGCCTGCGGGCACTCGCTGCCCTCGGCTGGGGTGACCCGACAGAAGTAGCTGCCCCTCAGGTTCTCCTCCTGTGCGGGCACAGAGTGACCAAGGTTACACGGGTCGCTCCTTTCTGGGGGAATGAAGGGCGCTGAATGAAGGACATGGACCTGTTGGAGCGAGTCCAGAGGAGGCCACCAAATTTATCAGAGGGATGGAGCACCTCTCCCGTGAGGAAAGGCTGAGAGAGTTGGGCTTGTTCTTCCTGGGAAAGAGAAGGCTTTGGGGTTACCTCATTGCAGCCTTCCAGTACCCAAAGGGAACTGGGAGGCAGGTGGGGCAAGACTGTGTACAAGGGCATGTGGTGGCAGGATAAGGAGCAATGGCTTCCAACTGAGAGTACACTCAGATTAGATACTAGAAAAATATACTGAGGGGATGTTGAGGCCCTAACACAGGTTACCCAGGGACGTTGTGGATGCTCCATCCCTGGAAGTGTTTAAGGCCGGTTTGGATGGGGCTTTGAG